GTTTGTTTGTTTGTTTGTTTGTTTGTGGCTAATCCACATAATTTTTGATTGGAGACACACTTGGAACTTTATTTGACCCATGGCAGTTTTGTGTGTCAGTGGATCTGACCAGTTGGTTTAGTAGTTGAAGGTCTGACCACAAGAGGGCAGAGCATCTCATACGAAAGGTTCCTTTTGGTTGGCTTCTGTGAGAGTAGGCTAACCACAGAAGCAGATGCCTGGTGCAGACAGTTTAAGAAACCACTGTGCTTTGGAGGAAAGGAAGAGATAGCTTGATGATAGAAGTAGCTTTGTGGCTGGAGGATTGCATGTTCCAATGGGGAGAACAATGAAGACAATTACTGGACCTTTGTTCCTGTTTTTGTGGCTGCAGCTGGACTGTAAGTTGATGGCTTTGGGGGAACAGGGTCTTTAGCAAATACTAGGGTATTTTAGAAAGTTCACGGGAAGTGTGCAACTGTGAGCATAACTGACTCTATCTTAGGCCCTAACCACTTGTTATATCTTCAACTTTATGCTTTTCCATAAAGTTATACAGTAACTAGGGGAAAGGTAGTTAGACAAATAGATAGGAATAATTTGCTGACTGTAAAAAAGGAATGATTAAGTACCAGTGTGGCGATAAGCTGGCCTGGAAACCTGCATCAACATTTGGAGCTAGTTACGTTAAGCTTGTTTATGAATTGCCTATATCAACCTGAACTCAACCTTGAAATAGCACAGAGAAACGCTTGGCATATGCCTTTGGGTCACTGTCCACCTGACCCATTACTCTGTAAGTAAATTACCCTTTAAATAAAGTTCTTTGCTTTATCACATGGAATGACTTATTTCATTGTTCGACCTTGAAATACCTTTCCAGTTAGCTGGACAATCTGCCCTTGGTCCAACTTCAGACAGAAAGATTTGTGTTATCTTTTAATTCTATTTTTCCAAAACTTTTTGATGTTGCCTTGTATATATTACAAGTCTGAAGTAGAGACTGGCCTTTTCCAGATTGCCTGAAATTACTGTAGGAATAAAAAAAGCAAACTCTGAAGAATGATGAGCTGACAATCGTGTCTGGCTTTTCCTTTTGCACAGGTCTGAGTAGAGGAGAGGAGGTGGAGCAGCGCCCTTCTTCCCTGAGTGTCCAGGAAGGAGACAGCACTGTTGTTATCAACTGCACTTACACAGACAGTACCTCTACCTTTTTCTCTTGGTATAAACAAGAACCTGGAAAAAGTCTTCAGCGTATTATAGACATTCGCTCAAATATGGACAAAAAGCAAGACCAAAGACTCACTGTCCTATTAGACAAGACGGCCAAACATCTCTCCCTGCACATTGCAGCCACCCAGCCTGGAGACTCAGCTGTCTACTTCTGTGCAGTGAGCACACATTGCTTCCCAGGCACCTGCAGCCTGTACCCAAACCTGAGACTGGGGCTGAAGACATACTCTATTTTCTTTGGCACAGACCTTCAAGTCAGGGCTTTTGCTGTATTGTATTTTTTAATATATGGACATTCTAAAAATCATAAATGAAGGACCTTTTAAAAATGACCCCAAAAATGTTAGAATATTTTGAATATAATCTTATTGGGAGTTATTTCATAGTTAGATATCCAGGTTTTAGTGTTGACATATGGGTGCCATTCAGATTTCTCTCTATTGAGGACATCTTGGTGTCAATGTCAGAGAATACTCTTCTTGACGGAAAGTTGCTTACCTTTAAATAATAGCATTTATTAACTTTTTATGATTAGAAAAATATTAACTTCATGGTATAAGAAAAAAAGTAAAATATAAATAAAAATTAAAGTATTTCTAATCCTATCGTCCAGGTAAATCATGGCTAACATTTGGTATTCTTTTTTAAAATAAAATCTTATTAAAAACTGGGATCATACAAACTGGTATTTTGACTTACTTCTATTTAATATTATATTCTAACTTAAGCATTTCATATGTGTTTAATTATTCTATGAATTATTTTGTGTGATCACTTCATTTCTCCTGTAATCATTCCCTTTTATTTGTGGTAAAAGACAGTATTTTTCTGATCTCAAATGTTACCCTTTAGGTAGATAGTTTCTTAGATGTAGGATTTTTTTTTTTTTAGATCACATGTATTTATTGTTTTTTTAATAAATTAGTTTATTTTTTATTTATTTATTTTAAAATTTTACTTCTCAAAATACATTGTAGTTGATTTTCATGCCCCTTTACCAATTCCTCTCCACCCCCTCTCCTCCCCCACAACATCATATCTGTTCACTTAACTTAAATAATTCAAGGAATTTTTGTGGTTATTCTGTCTTCTCCACCCCTCCCCACTCTTTATTTGTTTGTGTGTTTATTTATTTATTTATTTTTAGCTCCCACAAATAAGCGAGAACATGTGTTATTTCTCTTTCTGTGCCTGGATTGTTTCACTTAATATACTTTCTCCAAGTCCATCCATGTTGTTGCGAATGGTAGTATTTTGTTCTTTTTTATAACAGAGTAGTATTCCATTGTGTAGATGTACCACAGTTTCCTTATCCACTCATCAGATGATGTACATTTGGGCTGGTTTCAGCTCTTGGCTATTGTAAATAGTGCTACAATAAATATTGGAGTACAGGTATCCCTTTGGTATGATGATTTCCATTCCCCTGGGTATATTCCCAGCAGTGGAATCACTGGGTCATATGGTAGATCTATCTGTAATTGTTTGAGGAACCTCCATATGATTTTCCATAAAGGCTGCACCATTTTGCATCCCCACCATTAGTGAATGACAGTTCCTTTTTCTCCGCAACCCCTCCAACACTTACCATTCTCAGTCTTTTGGATGTTAGCCATCCTAACTGGAGCGAGATGGTATCTCAGTGTGGTTTTAATTTGCATTTCTCGGATGCTGAGTGATGTTGAACATTTTTTCATGTGTCTGTCAGCCATTAGTATATCTTCCTTTGAGAAATGCCTGTTTAGCTCCTTTGCCCATTTTTTAATTGGGTTATTTGTTTTTTTGCTGTAAAGTTGTTTGAGTTCCTTGTATATTCTGGGTATTAATCCTTTGTCAGATGTATATTTTGCAAATATTTTCTCCCACTCTGTTGGTTGTTTTTTTTACTGTGTAGATTGTTTCTTTTGCTGTGCAGAAGCTTTTTAGTTTGATATA